CTTGTCCAGACTCTTCTGTCAAATTGCTGTGTAGCCTTGGGAAGAATTCTTACCCTCTCTGAGCCTTAGTATTCTGAACTGTAGCATTAGATGAAGTGATGGCTAAGATTCCTTTTATCTCTGAACCAGTCTAATATTCTAAGTGGTTCCTGAGACATTTTCTAAGCCACGGATTTTCTTAAGATATTTGAACAGTACTATCTCCAGTTTATGGACTTCTGCAGTGGCCTGATGGGCTGACTGCACATACTGAAAACTGCTGTCCCTAGATTTAATTACCTTAGGGTATCACCACTTCATAGGATAAAATGAGTCATGTTGTTCACTGCATCTGCAGCCTGTACTGAGAGAGAGGTTATGAGATAACAACTTATAAGCTAACTCATTAATGCTTGGGATCAATGCAGCAGTGTGGCAGCAAAGCACATAGGTGCCCAGATGTCTCCGTCTAGAGACCTGTGTTTCTGTCCCAGTGGTACGGTATTAATGGGGATGTCTTGCCTGTCTTCACTCCACTGTAGACGTCTGAATAATGTAGATGCAATACTTTCTGGGCACCCAACCCCGAGCACTGTCAAGTTTTCAAACTCCAAAGATCTCAGGGTGGCCAGAACCCAAAATTCTGATGATGCTATAGAGTGCTGAATTTACAGGGATTCAAACCACATCAGCACAGCCCTTACTACTTTCTCATAGGTGTTTACTAGTAAGCACTGCACCATGCCTAACTATTAGATTGGACAGTGGGAGAAATTAGTCTTCCAAATTGTGAAGGCTATAGATTTATGCCTAGCTGAGTGCATTTTCTGCCTCCTTGTAATGTCAAAGCTGGTGATCTCTGTAATGTTAATTTGTTTCTCCATCTGTGTCATACACTGCAGGAGGATGTGAGAAATAGGCTTGATGTCACCCAAGGGTGTTTCTCCTTTATGCATTGTTGGGGACTTGGTTTGCATGTTCCTCTGGTCTTTGTCCAAGTTTTTCCTTTAGGAATCTGCTAATTTCTTGACCCTTTCTGATTGAAATGAAATTATATATTGTTTTGTTAGTGGCAGTGTAACACTGGATGTTTTGAAAGAGAAAAAGATATGGAGACAGTAGACATTTACTAAGCTAAATAACAAAATTTGAAAAATTGAACTATGCCATAAGTTTTTATAAACTTGATCAAATGATTTTTTTAAAAAAAATATTTCACCAGGAAGAAATCAAAGAGTGAAGAATAAATATCTATTCCAAGTAGTCTCCCCTGATAGCTTTACTTGTGTTAAAGCAATTCAAATGTAGCAGAGATTGAACAGAGTAGGTTGTTCAATGTGCTGATAGAAATTCTAATTCTGTGTAATTACTTTTGAAGCCTGATATTTCCTGAATCTCAGGCCCTCTGCAAAGAGCCTTCAATATGAACACACTTATTAAAAACCAACACTACATATCATAGAAACATTCCTCACTCAGTTCTCACACAGCGAAAGAAATGGGTACTATGTTTTTACCCATTTTATGAGTAGGCCACTGAGGCTCAGAAAATTCAGCTGATGTTGTTAAGGTCACAGATCTAAGAAATCATAAAGCCTGGCTTTGACCTCAAGTTATGTTTGGTTCTAACTCCCACGCCCAGAACAGATATTTGTCCAAAGAAAATTGTTTTCAGAAGTATCTCAAATTCTGAGCTAAAACTTAGTGGTTTTGCTTTCCTGTTTCCTCTTGAATATTTTTTGATGCCATGGTCATTTCAGTCTGGTACCTTGGCATACTGGAGGGGTAAGAAAGGCACTGTGAAGCAAGAGAGTTCTCTTGGTGGCTCCTTCCCTATGAGGAGCCTACTTCTGTATTCAGCTTGGAAAGTCAGGCCTGAGGAGAAGTAAGGTATTGACACCTCAGGAACCTGTTGTATGTCTGTCTCCAGTATTGAAGTCAGTCCCATCCCCTTTTCTACCTCACCCACCTTCTTTTTGACTAGATCTTTCTATCTCTGCTTCTGTCTTTTGTTCTACTGGTGTCTTGAGAGGGCTAAAGGCAAACACAACAGTGTTAGTTTTGCCCGCAGAAATGCAGCATTTGACTGCTCTTCAGTTTAGCTCTGTATGTTCAAGCAGGGGAGCAATGACAAACAGTTTATTCTAAGGCCTTTGATTTCCTTCAGAATTGTAAGCATTTAGGCTGACTCATCTCTCAAAAAGGCTTCACTCTCTCTCTCTCTCTCTCTCTCACTCTCCTTTTTGGGCTTGCCCGCCGTTGATTTGAGGCTTTACTGTTTGTTCCCACCTTATTTTTCTGAGGAAGGGAGGGACTGATTTTCATCCTGTTTTTTGAGGAAAGAACCAGCTCTGCTCTTGGCGTGACCAGATCTGGAAAGCCTCCAGAAGAAGAAATAGCTGAAACTCCAAGACAGGTATGCAATGTTTGGTTTGGGATAAGGGAAGAGGGAGAATGATGTGAGGAGAATTAAGCCAGAGGTAGGCTATGCATGTCAGATGAGACCCTTGACTAATAACTCTAGACCTGTATGGTGAAGACTTGATGGATGTTTAGTCTGCTACTGTTGGAGATGTATGTGCCTGTGGTTAAATGGTAATTTTTATTGTAGTTTGGTGGTTGGATTTAGGTGCTCAGTTTGAGTTCAAGCAATGGTGCTTTGCAGTTGAAGAAGCTTTAAAATCCATGCTAGAGATTTTCCTCTTAGTTTAGTTCAAAAGTCACAGAAAGACCCCCTCCCCTTATTATGGTGTACATCAGTTAGCTGACAAGCCTTTTTTTTAAAACAGCTGTGAGTTGATCATTAAGGAAAATGGGCAAGAGAGAATTTTGGAGATAAAATTCAAAGTGAGGGATTTTCTTGGATAAATAATTTCTTGGACAAATAATTTGGTTCGGTTATTCCATGATAAACCCTCACTTACCTTTTCTCTGTTAAAACCATATTACCTAATCTTTGAGATCTAAGCCCTTATTCAAATAGTATACAGACTGGTATTATAAAACTCCAAGGGACAAGGAAGATCTGAAAAAGAATGTGTGACTCCCTCCTTTATTTTTGTTTAAAGGTTTAGGTTTCTATGCCCAAGCCCAAACCATAAACTTGGGAGCTCTTCTAGATTCATTCCCTTATACTTAAATTTCTCTCCTAAATCCTGTCAATTCTGCCTAGTATTACTGACTTAGATTAGCATACCCTGCCTCTTGGCTGGTCTACCTGCTTCAGGCTCTCTACCCCAGCTTTTCATGGCTCTCAGTGAGTTTTTCTAGGTACCACTGTGGCTTCTGGGACCATTTGACCTCTCACACCTGCCCACCCCGTTTTATCTCCTTCTGTCCCTTTATGCTGCCCTAGGAAGATGAGAACTTCTCTCATCTCTCTCCCTTTACGTGAACTATTGTCTCTGGATACAATCTCTTCCTTGTCTCTGGGCAGACTTAGATGTTTTCTCCTTTCTGTTCTCACAGTACTTTGTTTATATCTTGGCTGACTGACTTATCACAAGGTTTTGTAAAGTGCTGCTAACCTACGTATGTCCTTCACAGTACTGTTAAATCTTTTATGAAAGGAGTAATATTATCTTGCTTATCTTTTGAATCTTTAGCATTTGACACAAAGTGGGCAATTAATGCAGATTTCTGTTTTTTCTTTTATTTTTTTCCATAATTTTATTGATCTGTTTTTTCTTTTAATGAATGTATGGAAAAAAACAAATGCGTAACAGAGGATGTCCAAAAGAGGATGCTGTGCAGGTTGTAGGGAGATCCCTACTGGTGAGTATGTGCAACATGAGAGATATGAAATAGTGGAGACCATGACAGAAGCCATAAAAAATTGCCATTAAAGCAAGAAAAAGTTTATTCTGATTATGAATTCTGTATAGGGAGTCTCTTTTGGAATGGTATTAAAATAATGTTTGTTTTGGTGCAAGTTGATTTTTTTTTTTCATGAAAAGTAATTTAATCAAGTTGTGAAATTTTAGTAAACAAAGAAAAGACAAGCAAACAAAATACTACCACTTACTACAGAGGTTGTTAATATTTGAATGTATTTCTTTCAGTCTTCTATATTTATGCATGTGTTTCTTCACATAGTTGTAATCATAAGTAATAAAACCCTGTATTCTGTATTTGTTCTCAAAAAGTTTTTTTGTAACCATCACTTTAGGATTATATAATTCTCTATACTCTGGTCATTACATGATTTATAGAACTAATCTCATTGTTGGGTTAGCTTTATTCCCTTAATTTTTTTTTTATTTGCTGCTGTGGCTCACGTGCATATGGTTTTTCCTGGGTACAGCTTAGGAAGATTTCATTAAGATAGATTCCTAGAAGGGGCATTACTGGGGCAAAGGGCCTGGGGACAAATTTTGGCTCCAGACCCACCCACGTGTCCAGTTTGGTTTTTTGGAAGAGTTGTATAATTTTACAGTGCTCCTAGATTAGATGAAACATTCTTTTTCATCTAACCTACATATTGAGTTTTATCATGAAAATACTTTAGCAATGTTCCAACTAATAGAAAATACTATTTTATTCTTCTCTCAAAGTTCTTTTTTTGAAAAACTGTAAGGTTTCTAAAAAACCTTTTTGTAAGGTTTTTTT